TAGAAACAGCAGTGTTGAGAGATTTGACTTGGAGAGTCTTGGTCAAACTTAGTGCGTTGCAAAGTCTTCATCCTCCCTACCAATCCAAGGATGGCTGCACATCTGGACTTTCAAAGCATTTCCGTACACACACATAATGCAAGATCCCGATCCACCTAATGTAAGAGGACAGTACGTAAGAGGATCCGGTTCCGTTACAAACAGGGCGTGAATTCAACCGAGAATTATCACTGCTATAATCGATTACATTATGGATCTGTTTAGTTGGTGAAATAAAAATATTTTAGTGTCACATTGGATGTTTGACCGGATGTTGGAAGGAGTTTTCGAACACGAATGAAAAAACTAATTTCATAACTCGCCTGGAAACCGTGAAACGAATATTTTGAGCATAATTAAGCCGTCATTAGCATATGTAGGTTACTGTAGCACTTATGGCTAATCATGGACTAATTAGGCTCAAAAGATTCGTCTCGTGATTTACATGCAAACTGTACAATTAGTTTTTCTTTTTATCTATATTTAATGCTCCATGCATGTGTCAAAAGATTCAATGTGATGTTTTTATGAAAAGTTTTTAGGGAACTAATCAAGGCCTATATTTACAAATTACTACCTCCGTCCCAAAATAAGTGTAGCCGTGGATATCCGTGCCCAACGTTTGATCGTCCGTCTTATTTAAAAATTTTTTGAAAAATTTGAAAATATTTAGTCACACATAAAGTATTATTCATGTTTTATCATCTAATAGCAATAAAAATACTAATCATAAAAAATTTTTAAATAAAACAAATGGTCAAACGTTAAACGTGAATATTATAAAACTGCACTTATTTTGAGACGGAGGGAGTACATGTCCTGATGGCAGGATGGCAACATATGGACGACGAGCAACATCACGTATCAGCGTCGCGTGTCACCGCGGGCAGAGCATATATGCTTGTGATGCCCATCGACGGATGATTGACAGACTCATCAAGATGGACACAGAAACCAGAAAAAGAAAAATTCCCCCCGAATCGCCTGAATTTTACAGGAAAACAGTTCGTTTCCTTTTTAAAAATCGTGAAAAAGGAATACTAGTGAAAAAGGAGAACTGCATATGGCGCACACAACACGAGGGAATACGCTTCTGCAGGAGAGAATACGCTTTCCAGTCCAGCTCTCCCATCATCACGCTGAACAAGCTACCGGCCGCCGGCCGGCGGTTGGTCAGGCGGTGGCCGCCGTCAGTCTGGTCCGGCCAAGTGTCCATGATTCTGCAACGCGAGAATGCAAGCCAGCTGTGGCGTCGCCTCGCGACAGACAGACAGGCCGACCGGCCGGAGAATTATTCCCTGGCGCCTGAAGCCTCCAACGCATTCGGACGATAATCTGTTCTTATTGTTTGTCTTATGCTTATACTTATGCATATAAACCAAAATTTTAATTTTAGAATTTTAATTTTAAATTTGATTTTTGTTTTTCATCGTATTTTATTTTACAATGTTTTTTTCTCTTAAATATTCTTTTATTTATTTGTTAATAAGCGATTCGGATAAGTATATGAATAAGCGAAACAATGGAGCTTCTAGATGGCGTGACTGGTCGTGCATGTCTTCTTCAAAAGTTGTACAGTGTTCCATCCGTCCTAAAATATAGTTAATTCTAAAATTCAAATTTTACCACAAATATAACAATCTAAGATAAACAAAAAATATTTTTTCACTAAACTGCCCACACAAGCATACTACCTATTGGTTTTATTATAGTCTTGATCTACACCTAACACCTCACCATCCCAAAAAGACGAACAAATCTCTCTATCCGTCTCCTTAATATATGTCTAATGTCTTCCTTTAAAATTGCTACATTTTAAAATGAAGGTAATAATACAACAACTTGTAAATATAAATTTAGATAAGTAGTTCTCTAAACATATAGATGTAGCTATAGAAATACTTATATTTTGGGATGAATGGAGTAGCATATAAACTTTGAATTTTGAGAGTTGATTTTATGATTCTTTTTTCATCATAGGATATTTTCTACTTAATTTTCAATTGATAATGACACAAATATAAACATTTTATCCTTATATCATTTTTTATCCGTTTATGTTGCTATGGCTGGGTCATAGCAGGCATGATTGATTTATATTATAGTATGGATTATTATTACAGATTATCTACTTAAATATAGTGTCAATTCAAAATTATAAAAAATAAATTTAAAAAATAAATCAAAATAAATTATCTAAGCAATATCAAGTTCTTTTAAACATGAAACAAATAATTCAACTTAATAATATGTCGAATAAACTAAAAAGAACATGAAGTTTTGGTCGCTGATAATGGAAACTATTTTAATCCCGCGAGCTCGAGGGATGTTCTCATTAATTTTAAAAATGTCGAAAAAGTTACGAAAATTTCTCAAAAAGTTTAACAGCACTCATACAACATATATATTCCACCCTAGAAAAATCTTATGTCCAAAATCGACTCGCACATTTAGATATAAAAGAAGACAAATTCAGTGTATAAATAATAGTGTATTATTATTTACGCGAAGTGAGTATAGCTCAACTGGTTAGGTTCCTTGTGGTGGAACCAAACCACCTAGGTTCAAATCCTAGATTTCACACGGGTGCTCGCATTTATGGCTAATTATTCTTTCAGTGGTAGGCGACGTACCCGTCGACAGCGAGGCGCTTGTGGTGACTTCGTCAATCTCAAGATATGCCGGCCTAGTCTTTCAGAGGTGCTCATAGGGGTAGGGTGTGCGTGTGTGCGTTCATAGGGGTGAGTGTGCGCACGTTGTGAGCGCTTGTGTTTGTACTGTGTTTCAAAAAAATAGTGTATTATTTACACACGAATTTGTATCTTTTTTCTCAGTGTGTTGGTCGAATTTGATTTTGATTTTTTTTAACTGATAGATGTCACTATACTCTATTTTTCTCGTTATTTTTTCTAAATCTTTTTAGAACTATTTATATTAGATTTTAAAAAAGATACACGATAGGACATCAACTCGGATTGGTTATAGAATTCCATTCCTCGCTGACAGGTCAGCCAGAGTTGAGGCCATGGCCATTGTTGAGCAGCAGGAGAATTTTCTGATGGCTTATTTGGTTTAGAGGAATTTGAACTCATAGGAATGGAAAAAAGAGAGAAATAGGAAGATATGCACATATCAATCTATATGAATTTTTCCAAAAGGTTTGAGTCGATGAAAATTCCCCTATGTTATCTTTTTACAACTTGGAGGGAAAGAAATTTTATTTTGATTTTTCTATACCTCATCCCTACAAATCTAATGACATTTGTAGAAATTAATTCTTAGGAATCCAAATTATTTATTTTTCCTTTAAACCCAATAAGCCCTGAATTTGTACGGAGCTGAACTGAGCTCCTGTGTTCCATCAATCGGGTTTATGCTGTCGCACCGGAGTACCGGACACGCACATTCTTCAGATCAAAGCCTCCTCAAACTTTCCAAGATTCTTCTTGTTTTCCCTTAAAATAAAAAACCTTTCCAAGATTCTCGGTGACGAAAGACGGTTCAATCTTGATAAAGCTTCCGTTCGACCATCACACACAGCCTAACTGAAACTGTAGGTCTGTAGCTACCGTCCTGATGCCCTTTCCTTTCCTCGTATGGTAAGTTTTCCACAAGCTTTTCACGCATTGGATTCATAATTCCAGTGTAATCCGGTTTTGTTCCGTGAAATCCAAACTTTTCGGACCAGGTCGAAAACACGAATCACTCGGTTTTTTTAGGCTAAGTTCAAAAAAAATCAAACTAGATTTTAAATCTCCAACGGAATTTTTCTGTATTTTATCGGTTTTTTCGACGGGTTTCGTAAAATCCGATGATATCGCTCGTGAACGGATTTCGATCCGGTATCAAGAATGTGAACTTCGGCGTCATGATCGGTCCGGCGTTCAGCTCACTGGCCACCGCCGTCGACGCGACTCCATGGCCGCGCCATGGGCGATGATGCTTTCCTCTTCTCCCTCTCTATTTTTAGGCTTTGGAAGGCAAAGTGTGTGCAAAGTTGAGGTTGATCCGGGCGTGACGTGCGTGCCATGGCATGACCAAAAACCACATCCAGTCACGTGGCTCAAAATGCACGGTTTTTTGCAGGCAGCATGTGAGCGTGTCTGCCGGCGCTCTTTTGCTGTGTCCAAATCCTAACGACACAGCCACCCGCGCTCGTGTGCAAACTTAGTTTTTGATTCCTCCCCAAAGTTTGTTGCCTTAGCTACAATAATAAATATCCAGAAAGCACGAATTATGTTCTACCAATACCATTACCAATATCTACTACGGATATTGGTAATAACACCCTTGAATATTAATAAGCTACTTTTTTCGTTTCAGATTATAAGTTGTTTCGACTTTCATCAAAGTTAAATTATTTCAAGTTTGATTAAGTTTATATTTTTAACCCAAAACAAATATATTATAAAAATACATTCAATTATTAATTTAATAAAATTAATTGTTATGATAAATATTATTATATTTATCTACCAACTCAGTTAAACTCGAAATAGTTTGATTTTGACCAAAGTGAAAAACGACTTACAATCTAAAATAGATGGAATATTAGTCCTTTATGATTTTTCTACTAAGTAGCTCGGTGGTCTCTACTGGTAGAGCTGATCACTGTACTATTTTCCAAAAGTATAATAGTACTCCCTCCGTTTCAAAATGTTTGACACCATTGACTTTTTAGTATGTGTTTGACCATTCGTCTTATTCAAAAAATTTAAGTAATTATTTATTCTTTTTATATTATTTGATTTATTGTTAAATATACTTTCATGTACACATATAATTTTACATATTTAACAAATTTTTTTAATAAGACGAACGGTCAAATATGTGCTAAAAAGTCAACGGTGTCAAATATTTTAAAACGGAGGGAGTATTTTTTTTAGAAGCTAGAGTCCAAGCGTTTAAGGCTCTCGCCGAGCAGTCCATCTCCCACTTGTGCGGTGTGTTGACGAAATTCACTGACAGGGGAGCATGGGGTGTGTGCTTATATAAACACGGACACTCGATTTAGCTAATAGCTAGCTGGAGCTCGATCCTGAAGAGCAGTATCAGTGCTCAGCTCACTGTTCATCATCACCCTCACCTCTTCTCTCTCCCTCCCTTACCTTCCTCCATAGACGACTGCAGCTAGCTCGATCGGAGATCGAGGCCATGTCCATGGCGGCGGAGAGGGTGGAGGCTGCCGGCGGCGGCGACGACGACTACACGCAGGACGGCACGGTGGACCTCCATGGCAACCCGGTGCTCCGGTCCAAGCGCGGTGGCTGGAAGGCATGCGGCTTCGTCGTCGGTAAGGATTGAAGACGATGAACTCTCTCTCGTGCATCCGGTTGGATTCAGCATATATGCATGCAGTGATCTAATTAATCCTTTCAGCTTGATTAATCTGTCATGAACAATTCATGGCAGGGTTTCTCCTTTCTTTCATGGGTTGGCATATGGTTTAATTACTTGCAAATTGATTGATATTCTTGGTTAGAAACTAGACATATCGAGGCTTGTGTTTGATTTGTTTATATGCCACGAGCGTTTGAACATTTTCCTCATCTGCTCACCCCTCACCGCATGCGGCGGGTGCAGGATTTGGGAGATTTGTTTTGATAGGATCGATGATTGTTTGTTATTTTGTCCGGCCAATCGCCATGGTTTTCATTAGCTGCCATTTTGTACTCCTGCCATAGTCTTTGGTACTACTATTTTTATAATCTCCCTACCTCGTGTCTCAGACAAAATATCCTCCTTGGTATTATAACCTCTACGGTATCTCTCAAGGACGTAAGAGTAGAGTACTTCGTCATGCCTGATAACCTTTTTTCACGAATACGCAAAAGGTTTGTGTTTCTTTGTTCCAAGAAGGTAGAGACCACCATGTGCAATACTAGTTGTTAACTGGTCGCTTGATCGCATCGTTTTCTGTGAAGTCAGAGTCAACATATCACAGTGTATCTGCTCAAAGTCTCTCACATGGATAGTAACATGTGCTACAGTATTTCTGTACTTGCGCCACTTTCCTGTAGAAATGGTTCTTCAGTGATTGTGTATACATGTACTGTACTGACTAATCAGTCAGAGCATACGGTTCAAGTGGTCAACGCTGACAAGAAGCAGGACAAAATCAAAAACACTATAGTACAAGGTTTTCCCTACCTCCTTTTCTTTTTTAAGGGCCTATTCGGATTGGAGAAATTTCACGGGATTTTTGAAGGAACTGAACTGTTGTTACCTGTGAAAATCTTGTAAAATCGAAGGAGCCCTAAGATTTCTCCTACATCTTCTGAATTTCTGATAGATAACAATACAAGTACATGGTGTGCCAATCACTGAAGACTGAAGATGATATGTATGGGCAGTGTGTAGCTAGCACAGTAGGAAAATGTCAAAAAGTTCAGTATGTTCAGGACCACTGAATTTATCCTACTAGGAACAGGCGTGCATGATTTTCTGAATTTCTGATAGATACACCAGCGGTGGCTATGAACTGAAGAAGCTGGATAGAAACTTCACTGTTGCAATATGCAGTGCTAATTTAATACAGTACTACTTCTAATCCTCCCAAACTTTGGAGTGATCTTTTCATAGATTAGGAAAAGGTGTAGTTAACCAACTTGAACATGGACTGCCGTTTTGTCTGAAGTGTTGGTTCGATTCAGACCCAGCTGAAAAACAATTTAAGGCAGGAGTGAGTTAGTTTGGATTCCTACGGTTAATTACTAGCAGTTGATCCAATAACAGTTTGCGTCATCAGAGATGCAATTTAGACTGAATCTGACAGGGAAAAAGCCTAAGAAATTGTTTGGTGATGGCTGCCCTGTCCTGTCTGCTTGGAGCGACAAATAGGAGTTGGAAATTGACCTTTGTGTTAATCAACGGTTTAGGGTAGGGACCCAGCTGATCCCTACTATATGATTGCTTGGAAAGAGGCGTTTTGTTCCAGCCCGGTTGGAATCTGTATCTCATCGCATTATTTGTTCATGACAAGAAAGAATGATTATGTTAGTGGCTGTCACCTTCCAATGATCACAACACTTATTAGCTCGTTGTAAATGTGCTATCTTCTCTGTCATAGAGGATTCTTGTTTTACTTTGACAAATAACAAAAGAAGTACATGTTCATTGAAACTGGTTTGCATGAACAACTTGTCCAAACTGCAAAATGTTTTTTTTCTAAATAAAAGAGAAGAGTTAAAACATAGGATGCTCTGTTGCATGGTTGTGTGGTGGTTATGGTTTGGTTAGAAATGCAGAGACCATGAGTCCTGTGGCTCATGAGAGAGAATGGTACCTCGGTAAAAAATGGTTGGTTGATCTCCATGCATATATTTTCCCAACCATACATAAATCTGGTCCTTAATTAGTTAACTAAGGTTGTGTTTTTCCCCTTTTCCCCCCAACAGCCCAACTTACCTTCCTCTTTTTTCCCACGCACGTTTTTCAAACGGCTAAACGATATATTTTTTAAAAAAGTTTTCTATAGGAAAGTTGCTTTAAAAAAATCATATTAACCTATTTTTCTAAAACAATAACTAATACTTAATTAATTATACACCAATAAGTCATTCTGTTCTACGTGCACGAGGGATTAGTCCCAACGGCCACTGCCAAACACAGCCTAAGAATTCATGTGTTCCAAACAGAATGTACTGTTACTACTGTATACCATGTTTTAAAGTGAATTATTGTTGTGCTGATAATGAAAAAAAATGCAGTGTACGAGGTGTTCGAGAGAATGGCGTACTACGGGATATCGTCGAACCTGGTGCTGTACCTGACGACGAAGCTGCACCAGGGGACTGTGTCGTCGGCGAACAACGTCACCAACTGGGTTGGCACCATCTGGATGACCCCGATCCTCGGCGCCTACATCGCCGACGCGCACCTTGGCCGCTACCGCACCTTCATGATCGCCTCCCTCATCTACCTCATCGTAAGTCCCTCACCTACTCCATCTCCCTCCATCTACAGCAGAGCACGAGAATCTTGGAACAGATCAAATGAACTATACCCTCTGTGCTAAAATATAAACATTTTTAGCATCGTGGCAAGTCATACATTTCTAACTTTGATGATTATTAATAGCAAAAAATTGATGATTAATAGCAAAAAAAATATAAAAAATCAATCATGTAAAATTGATCTTACCATTAAACAAACTATTATAATATATGTAACTATTTTTATTTAAAACATCTTACTTTTATATATATTGTTGGTCAAATAGCATCTCGGATACTGTGACAGGATCTAAAATTACTTATATTTTTTAGGACGCGGGGAGTAGAAATCAAAAGCTAGAAAATAAATTAGAAACCAGAACTTAAAAAATCTATTGGACTTTTAGATTTTCAAAAGTTAGTTACCCACCAGCTGCTTGGATTGCTCTCGTGTTGAAAAATGCAGTCCCTGTCTGAAGACTGTACGACCATCTAGCTGCTCTAGCCCACAAAAATCAAGATGGGCTTTAGCTCGAAGCCCACAAAGTCCAGTGAAAAAACAAATTGCAAGCCCAAATCCAGCACGACTAATTCAAACCAAATCTGTAGATTTTTGTTACCAAATTTGATCGATAGATTCCGAATTTTTGAACGTCGCTCGTCTCGTCTCGTCTCGTGCAGGGGATGAGCCTGCTGACGCTGGCGGTGTCGGTGCCGTCGCTGAAGCCGCCCAAGTGCGGCGCCGGCACGGCGGACCCGGGCTGCTCGGAGAAGGCGTCGAGCCTCCAGCTGGGCGTCTTCTTCCTCGCGCTCTACATCCTCGCCGTCGGCACCGGCGGCACCAAGCCCAACATCTCCACCATCGGCGCCGACCAGTTCGACGACCACCACCCGCGGGAGCGCCGCCATAAGCTCTCCTTCTTCAACTGGTGGATGTTCAGCATCTTCTTCGGCACCCTCTTCGCCAACACCGTCCTCGTCTACCTCCAGGACAACGTCGGCTGGACCGTCGGCTACGCGCTCCCCACCCTCGGCCTCGCCGTCTCCATCGCCATCTTCACCGCCGGCACGCCGTTCTACCGCCACAAGCCCACCTCCGGCAGCAGCTTCGCCAGGATGGCCAGGGTCATCGTCGCCGCCATCCGCAAGCTCGCCGTCGCGCTGCCCGACGACGCGAGGGAGCTCCACGAGCTTGATGATGAGTACTACGCCAAGAAGAAGACCACGCCGCTGCCGTACACGCCGTACCTGAAGATCCTGAGCAAGGCGGCGGTGAAGACGAGCACGACGTCGAGGTGGTCGCTGAGCACGGTGACGCAGGTGGAGGAGACGAAGCAGATACTCAAGATGCTGCCCGTGCTGGCGGTCACGTTCGTGCCGGCGGCGATGATGGCGCAGGTGAACACGCTGTTCGTGAAGCAGGGCACGACGCTGGACCGCCGCGTCGGCGGCGGGGGCTTCGAGATCCCGCCGGCTAGCCTGCAGGCGTTCGTGACCATCTCGATGTTGGTGTCCGTCGTGCTGTACGACCGCGTGTTCATGCCGCTCATGGCGCGGGCGACCGGGAACCCGCGGGGCATCACGCTGCTGCAGCGGATGGGCGTGGGGCTCGTCATCCACATCGCCATCATGGGGATCGCCTCCGTGACGGAGCGGCACAGGCTCGCCGTGGCGCGGGAGCACGGCATCGCGGACAGCAAGGGCACCACCATCCCGCTCACCATCTTCGTGCTCCTCCCGCAGTTCGTGCTCATGGGCGTCGCCGACGCGTTCCTGGAGGTGGCCAAGATCGAGTTCTTCTACGACCAGGCGCCCGAGGGGATGAAGAGCCTGGGCACGTCGTACGCCATGACCAGCCTCGGCGTCGGCAACTTCCTCAGCAGCCTGCTGCTGTCGACGGTGGCGCACGTCACGCGCCGCCATGGCGGCGGCGGCGGGTGGATCCAGAACAACCTCAACGCGTCGCGGCTCGACCACTACTACGCCTTCTTCGCCGTCCTCAACTGCGTCAACCTCGTCTTCTTCTTCCTCGTCTGCCGCCTCTACGTCTACAACGCCGAGGTGTCCCGCGTCGTCGACGTCGGCGGCAGAGGCGGCGGCGAAGGCGGCGAGGTGCTCAGGCCCAAGGAGGTGGCCATGGTGGACACAAATCTATAGAAAATGTATCGATCGATGATCAAATATACCATGAAATTAATATCACCTTCAGAAATGCTAACAACAGCGGCTTCAGCTTATTTTCAGAACAGTGAACATATGGATGCACTCTGACCAGAAAAAAAAACGAAATTTTTGTGCAATTTCAAGGCGAATTGTGCAGATGTCGAACAGAGCATTTGTTCATGGCTCCTTATTGCAACAGAATTGTCGAACACACAAGGTTTTTCATGGACATATATACAACAGAGAACGTCTAGAATATAACCTTCATCGTTAATTCATTCTAAACTAGCAAATTACCCATACAAAATTCCATGCTTTATATATATATATATATGAGGCAAAGCTATTGCCCTCTTTAAAAAAAACATACAAAATGGAACCGCTTTGTCGTGTTCTTAGCAGGCAACAGTTTTTCTTTCTAACATGTGGGAAGCACGGGACGAAGAGGAGGAGGACGACTCTTCTTTTATTGTACTCGCTCTGTTTCATCATATTATAAGTCGTTAACGTTGATTTTTTTTCCTAGTCAAATTTAAAGATTAACTAAGATTATAGAAAAATATAATAGTATTTTCAACACAAAACAAATATACTATTAAAATATATTCAATATTAGATTTAATAAAACTAATATAATATTTTAGATGTAGCAAAATTTTCTATAAACTTGGTCAAATTTAATAAAGTTTGACCAGGAAAAAAATCTAACGAATTATAATATGAAACGGGATGAGCAGTAGTAGTAGAGATAAGAGAGACCAAACGTAAGAAAGGAACGAGCTTTCTCAGAATTTTGGTTGTGACTTTGCCAGAGTTCAATCAATCGTAACGTTAACAGACAGGACGGCATTATTAGATTTCTTGGGTGGTTCAAAGTAGGTAAAGATTCATGCAAACTCTTGATCTGCAAATCCTCTATTTTTATTTCAGGGGATGATGAATGGTGCTAATACAAATCATACGCAACTATATCTATTATAAAAACATGACTAAATCTCCTATACCACATAATACATGGATTTGTTAACAGATTCGAAATTGCTAAACGCCCTGTTGTCCTCATTTCAGAGTCTCAACAATCGTATTTTCTTGATTTATTAAATCCAAAAATTAAAATATACTCCCTTTATAAAAAAAACTAATCTCAATGTCCAGATTCAAATATAGAATTGAGTTTTTTTTCTTTTTCACAGAGGGAGTAACAAATAAAAAAAATACTGATATGTACATGTTCTCTGTAGTCTCGATTATAACCTAACAATGTCAGTATTGTAATTATTTAGAACATAATATAATACACAGATTGATGTAGTAGTTTGATTTGAAAAGAACCCCAGGATTTGGTTTAGAGTTTAGACAGGATTTTGATAGAGTTCCTAGAATTTTTTTTATTTTTAATTTTTTTTATTAAAAGTTTTACAAAAATAATTTTCCATTTTGAAAATTGACGGAAGTGGTCGCCTACCGCCCTCTGGGAGGGCGATTTTTAAAAATCGCCATCCCAGAGGGCGGCGAAAATGACGTGGCAGACGGCCGTTCGCTCTCGGGCGACGGCCGTCAACGAAATTTGCAGGCGGCCCCCTTGCCGCCCTCCGCTAGGGCGATTTTGTACTGTGCGGGGGGCCGCCTGCAAATGGGCGGCGAGGGGGCATGGAATTTTGCAGGCGGCCCCCTTGCCGCCCTGGGGGAGGGCGATTTTTTCCTCCCCCTATAAAGCCCAGTCCCCCCTCTCTGAAATTTCATTATATTCACTAAAAATCCAAAAAAAACGAAAGAGAGAGAGAGGGGAGGGCAGCAGAAGGGGAGTGGCGAAGCCCTGCTGGTTCGCTCACTTCATCACAGGTTTGCTCCCATACATCTTTTGCATTTGTACTAATATGTTATGTTTGAGTATATATGTTGCGTTTTAGTTTTAGTTCCATATATTTTAGCATATCTGTAGCACACAGCACATATGTGTAGATCCAGAGCATAGAATATAATAGTATGAATTGAGACATAGACAGTAGTGTTAATTGTAAGATGTAGTTTAGTTTGATCTGGAGAATGTAACCTACTTTTAGAATTTTGGAGAACAATATTGTAGAGAATGTAACTTAGGGCGTAGTACAGAAATGCGAGGTTAACGCAGTTATTGATTTCATCAGGCACAATGTCAAATAAGGTCACATTTCAGATAGTTCACGGTGAAGGAAATATTAGATTTGGTCCAGATGGTGTTGATCTGTCAGATTTTGTAATGACATCTAAGGGCATCGATAGGCCTGCGGAGAGAACATTTCAGTCAATTTATAGTTGGTTGTTGAGAGGATTTAGAATAGACCAAGAAGTCTACACAATGTCAGTATCAGTTGTAGTGAGTCGTGCAACAGAAGGTTATTTTTGGGAACTAATGCCGATGGACAGCACTGCTGCTTGGAGACGGTATGTGGAAATGGCTTTTCAACGGTCGTGGCCCCTCGTTATATTTGTGTCGGTACAAGAGAAAGATATAAATGTTTCAATGCAAACCGAAGATGTAGAGGGTCCTATCAATGCAGGGGATGTTGTTGGACCATCGATGCAAAATGAAGAAAATCAACCAAGGGAGGAGCAGGCCATGGGCATGGCGGATGAGGGGGAGAGAGTCGGTATAATTGTTGATGAAATGGAGAGGGAAGATTCGGATAATGAGGAAGCGGACGACGACGCATCATCCGATGAGGAAGGTGATGTAATGGCCACTGATTGGGCAAATGAGGACTTCTCTGGACTTGTTATATCAGAGGGTGATCATGTACCCTGGGAGTATAAGGAGAACGAGGTAATTGACGGTGCAAGGTATGCTCATAAGGATGAGATGAAGGAGGCGGTGAAGCATTGGGTAGTTTCCTTGCAGAGAGAGTTTAGGGTGGTCAAGTCAACAAATTATGTGTATGAAGTGAGGTGCATGAAGGAAGATTGTCCGTGGCGTGTCCATGCATATAAGGGTAAATGGAATGATTATTGGAAAGTTAGCATTGTGACCGAGCACAAGTGCTACTTACAAGGGGTGGAGAAGTATCACCGAAACATCACTTCAGCTTTTGTGGCAAGTGAGATGTACAACAGTGTTGTTGGTAACATTGGCTTTGAACCAAAATCAATTATTAGGCACATCGAGAACAAATTCAAGTACACCATAAGCTATGCAAAGGCCTAGAGAGCCAAACAAAAGATTATTGAGATGAGGTATGGCACATTTGAAGCTTCTTATGATAATTTGCCTCGTTTGTTAGCCACCATTGCCCAGAGGAATAATAATACTTACTATGACCTACATACATTTACATCGGTTGATGATCGAACAAAGAGTGTGATGCAAAGAGCCTTTTTCTCATTGGGTGCTTGCATAAATGCTTTTGTGCATTGTCGACCTGTTCTATGCATAGATGGAACTTTTATGACAGGTAAATACCGAGGTCAGATATTGACAGCAATTGGGTGTGATGGGAACAACCAGGTTGTACCTATGGCTTTTGCATTTGTAGAGAGTGAGAACACTGAAAGCTGGTACTGGTTCCTAGAGAGAGTGCACATTGCAGTTGTGCGTATGAGGCCCAACGTTTGCCTTATACATGATCGTCATGCGGGTATGTTGCGGACTATTGACTACTTGCAGAACGGTTGGGATGAGAAGGGACTTCCAGCTAAGTGGCCTGATGTTCGGAGTCGGTGGTGCATGCGTCACATGGGTGCAAATTTCTACAAGCAATTCAAGAACAAGCATCTTATGGAGCTCTTTAAGAGGCTCTGTGCACAGAACCAAGAGAAGAAATTTAATGAGTTGTGGGACAAGTTGGATGAGTTGACAACGAAGCAAACAGATGAGCAATCTCGCAGACCACAAGTTGAAGGTGACGAGCCTCCCATACCTCTTGGTGCATTACATGATGACCCACCAACAATGAGAAGGAGGTCAGGGTCGTCCATCAGAAATTTCACTCAGTGGATTGAGAATGAGCCTAAGGAGAAGTGGTCTCTATTGTTCGACACCGATGGATCTCGGTATGGCATAATGACAACCAATTTGGCAGAGGTGTACAACTGGGTAATGCGAGGAGTTCGGATACTTCCATTGGTTGCTATTGTTGAATTCATCCTTCACGGCACGCAAGCGTACTTTAGGGATCGATACAAGAAAATTGGTCTGTCCATGGCCGATAACAACATAGTGTTTGGCAACGTAGTGACAAAGTACATGGAAGATAAAATCAAAAAGGCAAGGAGACATAGAGTTGTTGCTCAAGGCACACAAGTGCATCGGTATGAAATAATGTGTGTTGATAGGAGCAGGCGTGGTATCTATCGCAAGCAAGCCGTGCAGGAATGTGTCTTGAAGGCGGATGGTGGATGTACCTGCAGTTGTATGAAGCCGAAGCTTCATCACCTTCCTTGCTCACACGTTCTTGCTGCTGCCGGTGATTGTGGCATATCTCCCAATGTGTACGTCTCAAATTATTTCAGGAAAGAAACAATCTTTCATACATGGAGTGAGGAGATATATGGGTTCGGGATCTCAGGATCTTACACAACGCTGAGTGCCCAAGTTTTTTACATTACAGATCCATCTAAGTTAAGGGTGAAAAAGGGTCGACGCCAAACTAGACGCATCAGAAATGATATGGATGAGTCAGAAGCAGGTGGGAGGACTTTACGCTGCAGCAAGTGTGATCTGCGCGGCCATACTTACAAGAAATGCCCGAAGAATGCAGAAGTTCCAAGCGGCGCAGATGCTAGTCCATCTGGACAGGCAAGTGATGGTAGGCGACCACCTGGTGAAGGAACAACAAGCAGGCGCGCAAGGCCAAGGCGTCGTCGCGCAGCAGGCGATTCCATGGTGTAACAATGCTATCGAACATTTATTACTTATGTGTTAGTAATTCGCTTATGAACATTTATTACTTATGTTGAACTAATTATTTATATGTTTCTGATCAATCTATTTGATGCAGGTATGGCGTACGACACACCGGCGCTGTTGAACCGTGGGATTGACAGGAACCACCGCTCGTTCCTGTCAGCAGTCGAGGGTGCACAGCTCGGCACCTTCCATCCACGCACGTCGCGCGAGTGGTTGCGTGTCGACCTCCGTCACGTTCCTTGGTACGCGTATGTTCACATTTCAACTCAACTTTGCTTTGTGTTG